GTGTATTCACTGCTATGAATTTCTCTCCTAAGACTGCTTTCATTGTGTCCCATAGATTCTGATATGTTGTATTGTCATTGTCGTTTAATTGAAGGAACTGTCTGATTTCTTCTTTAATTTCCTCTATGACTTTTGCTACTTTCTTGAGGTTCTTTTGTCCCCCCTCATATGGGCTGTGTCTTCCAGGTCTGTGTTTGGGTTCATTTTTCTTGGCATAATCCAAGGAATCATAAATCATGCCAAAGTCAGCTGTCCTGCCACCACCAAAATGGGTCCTGAATCCAAATACAGAAATGACATCTGTTGTGGTCTTGTAGGTTATGGTGTTTGTGCTGCATTTCTGTGTTAGATACTTTTGCTTTCCTGGGTCAAAGGACATCAATGACAGTTTCCTTTGAAGAAGTGGTTCAGTCAGGAAACTCCTGGTTTAGGTGCTATGTCATTCACAATGAGCACATCCTCAGGCAGCCAGGGAAGAAAATAACTAATTTATTTTTATATTATATCCTAAGTCTAAAGCTCTCATCTTTATGTTTGGTACATAATTAGGTTAGACAATGTATATGTAGTACTGAATTTAATACTAATAAATCCTAAACTTTTTGTTAAATAATCCAATGAGATAGTTTACATTCTTAGGTTCATATTAAAACTTGAAATCCATTGATAATTTTACACTTATCTCAATCTAACATATCTTCATCTAGATGCTAAATTTTTACCGTAAATACTTTGATGATAAAAAAATAGTTGATATCATTGGGTTTGTAATATTTACAGTTGAAAAATTACATTCTAAGCATACTAAAAATGTTTTCCAATAACTGGATTGTCACTTTTAAAATTTAAATTAACTATAGTTTACTGAAATTAGAAATGCATTGCTTGAGTGGAATCAGTTGCATTTCATGTAGATAATGGTCATTTGGAGTAGTGGTTACTGACTTAAACAAACAGCTCTAGGTGGTAATTGGGAGGCTAGAGAACTGAAATAATTTCAATTTTGTACTATTTGCATATACTGCTATCTAAATAAATGAATAAATCAATGTCTTGTTTTACAGCAATATACCATAGGTAGTTAGGCTGTGAAAAATCACAAGTACAATCCTGCAGAATGAATATGTGGGCAGCAGTGGGAGGGAGAGCAGTTATCTTACTATATAAGTGAAGTCCTCATGGCTTAGAACAAAATTACCAAAGATAGCATTCCAAAACCACATTCCAAAGGTACTATACTACTAACAACTTATTTTAAAGTAAAGATTTTGTGCCGGGTAAAGCTATGTCATATAATTAAATAGGACCAGCGTGCTGATGAGGATAATAAGTACCTGAGGTAAAGCAAATGGAGTTTTACTAAAATAATTATATTAAATGTAAAAAGAAAAATCAGTATTTCTGAATTCTTATTTATTTG